CCCCCCCAGGTAGCTGCCCAAACACAATAGACAATTAAAAGCAATCAGCCAGGCATTATATGATGGTCTAGCAATTATACGGCATGGAGTGTCTGCCAAACAAATTGCTTATACGCATCGGAGAGTAGAGCCGGGAGTTCAGGCACTGGGGGACACTGTGTGCCCTGACTTTATGCTCTCGGAGGTTCTGTGCGGTCTTCCAACCCTTACTTCATTTCTATATTGACATTTCCCCCGGCCTGTTCTCTATAGGTCATATATGTCTTTGGTTTTACAGCTCTGGCATGGCCCAAAGCTCGCCAGACAAATGCGTCACTTAAATGTTTCTTGGGCATTATGTGAGCTGCAGGATAGGGACTGTGAATCTGGCACTTCAAACTGTAAACATGATAGTCACTTTGGCGGGCAGGGTGAAGCTGTCATATTCATTGAAAATGCCCTGGATGATATTTTCAGGCCAGAGAAGAGACATCTGAAGCTAGAATGGAGGAACCATCTTCATATGCTATGCCAGGAGGCTTGACTGAGTCTACTACTCGTCCGCTTGATCCATCTAGAAGAGCTTCAGTTTCATCATGAATACTCCTGTTTGATGTCGGATATTCTGTGGAGAGCAGCGTAATGACAGCAGCCGTTCCACCAGACACTTCCATTTCCGTACCTATGAGAAGTCATGGCGAACTGCGATTGGGGTGGTTCATGTATCAACTCGGACCCTTTCACACCCTTTTTCGATTTCCGCGCCGTTCACAAAATCGATGGGCACTCACTATGCCCCACAGGTGACAGAGAAAACCCCCTTACCACTCGTCATTCTTCGCGCCCGGTCCGGGCAGTTACAGTTTCTGAAGTTTATAGGTGTTGCGGTATGCTCCACTGGCTTGCGGCGTGTACGGCCCTTGAACACGTTTCGTTTGAAATTGTGGTGCACCGTGACGACTTTGGTCTGAGTTTCCCAAATGTTGATAGATTCAGTGCCCCAAAATTCCGACAGGCCCTTCTTCCTTTCAGTGGAACGCTCAAGACCCTTCGCGTGGCGGCTGATGAGAGTTTTTATATTGACCTGGAGTGGCAATACGAGGACATAGAAGAGGAGCCGTTTGGGTCATTCAAGGAATTTGTTGTCCTCCAGGATTTCGTGGTGCGACATTCCCACCTAATAAGACTATTCCCTTCTCGCTCGAGTGGTGAGGATAGAAAGCCATTTGTTGACATTCTTCCGCCCTCCCTCAAGAGCCTAAGTGTGAAAGATATTGTGGATGAAGGCTATCCTGATCTCTTGTTTGGAGCTTTCAATGTTGTTGCGACACAAGCATTCCTTTCTTCGACGTGAGCAAATTCAGCTCTGTGTGATGAAGGGGGTCAACATAGATGAGGACTTACTACATCCATTGCGAATTGAATGCGAGGCTGCTAGTCTCTCCTTCAAGATTGAGGTGCAAACATACTGACACGAAGGAGAGGAGTATCTGCACCTCAAGCCGACGGTGCGACGCGTGGTACCCCCACGTTGTATCAAGGTATCGTCTCTTGCCCACTGCTACCAAGAGCAAGCCAATGGCGGACCCCACGCAACGTGGAGATTCCTTCTCCGCAATTGTACCCCAGAGGATTGGCAAGAATTCTGCGGGGTAGAACTAGCTAGGGCTTCGTGGCCGATGACCCCACGGAGGTGATCTCTTCTCTCTCCTTGGTCATACCGGGTATGGTAGTGATCAGGCCGTCTTCTTGGAGCTCGCCAGAATGCGTCGTGATCTAGTCATCCAAGGAGGGGGGAGGGTCCAATTCTATATAAGACCGCATGAACCCTCTGTGAGTAACCACCCATCGACACGTTCTGTTTCCCCAAACCCCCAGGCTGTATCCCACAATGTTTGGCAAAGAGAAGAAAGATGTGTGCGAGGTGGAGTATATGAACGAGAAGGCCACCCCTCATGATGATGCCATGCACCAACCCCGAATGCCAGCCGCACTGTCAGCCCTGTCGGAGTCAGAATATGCTACGCTCGGCCGGAAGGCCATCATCAAATTGGATGCTCGCGTGATGCCCTGCATGGTGATCATGTACATCCTGAACTATCTGGACCGGCAGAACATCGCGTCGGCGAAGCTGGCAGGGATCGATGAAGATCTGAGCATGAATGACGTGCAATATCAGACATCCATCAGCATTCTGTTCATCGGCTACAGTATGTGACCCTGTCTTTCTTCCCTATCCGCCTCCATCGGCTGGGCCGCTTTCCTTGATCTTGGTCGCTAAATGGGGTCGTGGTGGCAGTCTTGATGCAAGTCCCTTCGAATATCATCGTTGGGAAGATTGAGCGTCCGGGGACATACATCTGCATCTCGATGGCGCTATGGGGTGTTATTTCTGGATGCATGGCTTCGGTCAAAAACTACTCAGGAATCTTGGTTTGCCGGTTCTTCCTTGGGTTTGTCGAAGCCATCTTCTTCCCGGGGGCACTGTTCTACCTCTCGCTTTTCTATAACAGAAAGCAGTACGCCCTCCGAACCGCAATCTTGTACTCGGGATCCCAGTTGGGGAACGCTTTTGGGGGTCTTTTTGCAATCGCGATCCTGAAGTTGGATGGCGTGCGTGGGTTGGCAGGATGGCGATGGGTAAGTCCTAGTTGGGATGCCGTTTCCTAATGTTTTCTTGGATTGACCAAGCTTATATTCCCTCTAGCTCTTTCTTGTCGAAGGAGTTGCTACGGTCGGCTTAGCTTTCATCCTTGCTTTTATTCTTCCCAATTCGCTGAAGTCGCTGCTAGGCTTCAGCGATGTAGAGAAGGAGTACCTGCAGTGGAACTTCGAATCGGACCAAGGACAGCAAGACAATGCGGATGAGGTCGGAGCGTGGAAGGGGACTATGATGGCCCTGACGGACCCCAAGACCTGGTTCATGATGGGGACCCTGTATAGTGTAAGTCAAGAGAGGCGAACACCATCCGAATTCCATTCTGATATCTTAAAGATATACATTTGTGCTGCCGTCACCAACTTCTTCCCGTCAGTTGTCGCCACGCTGGGCTACTCTCGGAATACAACCTACGCACTCACAGCAGTAAGCTTCTCGTCAAAGAGAGGGTAGGGTGGTTTCCGCTGGCTAATCGCTGGTCATGCTTTAGCCGCCGTATATTCTGTCCGTAGTCGCGATGATCATCAATGGGTTCCATTCGGACAAGGTATGTAGAACCCAAGCAGCCCTTTCTATGCCACTCCTAACCCACTGAAATAGAAGCAAGAGCGGTATCTGCATATCATATGTCCAATGGTCGTCTGTCTGGTCGCCAATATCATCGCCGTATGCACCCTCAACACCGCAGCGCGATGTAAGTTGTACCTGGTCCCCTAGATTCCATGTGGCAACAACGGAGCTAAGCCGGTGATACCATAGATGTTGCGATGATGCTGATGCCTGGGTCATTCTATTCGGCCTCAACCATTCTCTTGTCATGGGTTGCCGGCTCCATCTCGCAGCCCTCCATCAAGCGGGCATCTGCCATTGCCTTGATCAATGCGATCTGCAATACTCCCAATGGTAAGACCCTCCAGCACTCGGTGGAGTACTCTGGCTGACGGTGGATGGTTTTCAAGTTTGGGCTTCTTATTTATATTTCTCCGAACCACGGTATCTCGTTGCATTTTTGGTCAACCTTGCCGCAGCCGCTTTGACCATTGCACTGGCGACGGTAACGAGGATGTATCTGCGACGACAGAACCAGAGGCTGGATAGTGGCATGGATACCGGTCGGAGTGGACCGACAGAGGCTCAAAAGGCTGCTGGGTTTAGATATACATTGTGAGAAGCTAGTGTTGTGGACTTTCTTGCCTCGGAATGCGAATTGGACCGTGTACCGACAGATGCGTACAAGTTCGCACGGAGAATGTGGCATTGCCTCGGAGACCTTAGATTCAGTACCATAGCATATAAACCCCTCGATGACCTCGTCCACCACCGATGGCGCTGTTGATAAGTAGCTGAACGCTGACCCTGTTCCCAAGAGTCTTTTTCAAGCGACTTTGTGAAAAAAAAAA